GGGGCTCGGTACTGGTCCCGCTGGTCCTTCCTGTCCCGTTTCTGTCCTCGTCCCTTTTGGGTTGAACTGTTGTGTGTTTGCGTCTGCAGTCGGTTCCTCCATCCAGACCTCCAGCTCCGTCCCAGAAGAAAACGCAGAGCAGCTACCGGCAGTCGGCCAGCAGCGGTGAGCCCCTCAGCTCGCCCCACCTGTTTCTGACTGCGCCTCTGCTTCCTGTTTCACCTCAGTGTTTCTGTGTTTGAGCAGAGAGGAAGGACAGACTGTACCCCAGCGTCTCCGTCTACAAGTCGGACACGTCCAGTGAGTCGTTGCTTCAGCGTTTAGGAGATCAGAAGCACCATTAATGCATATTGACAAAATGAAAAACTGCTCAATTATGAGATTTTTATGATTATTAACAAATGTTTCGTCACTAGGGATGAGATTTGAAGACAATGGGAGTAATCTTAGGCATGTTTTTATGTTTGATTTTTGTGGAGAATAAGATGTTATGTTATCAATGTCAGGCTGTGGCTTCCTCTAGTGTTTACAATGCAGTCCTGCATTCAGTGTCCATTTAATAAACCAATCAAAATAAATCAGAATAATAACCAGATAAACAGATTTATAGCTGATTACGATAAACCAAACCAACTGCTTTTTTCACTTAAATTCATAGAAAATCTTTAAACTATAAATAAGAAAAACTGTGAATTTTTGTGCCTCCTGACTTTGTTTTTAATAAATTTTAAAAACAAAAAATTAAACCCATGTTAAGTATTTAAAGAAAACAGGGTAAAGTTGTCGTTAAATGTTCTTTTGTGTTCTGACTTCCTGTTTATCTTCTGTTTCAGCTCAGTTTGCGTCCCGCGACCCGCCGCGCTACGGTACCACAACTCATTTTACACATGAATTTGATTTCATTTTACAGAATCAAGCTGGAAAAGACAGTTTAGTTTGGATGTATTTGGTTTTATGTTCATGCATCACCATCAATTTTGCATTTTAATGTTTTTGTATAAAATAATACGCCACAGGGAAACTGAAGAGTTATTCTTTGGGTTAGTTTTTAATACTAGAAGAATAATAAAATCACAACTTTTGGACAAAATATTTCTCTTTTTCCACTAAAAATCCAAATGTAACAAATTAGAAACATTTCTGCATCATTTTTGTTGTTATTTTTCTTATCATTTTATTGTTGTAAATGTAAAACTGATTTGTTTCTTGATGTTTCTACTTCTGCAGATGAGTTTGACCCCGAACCGCCGAGTTATGGTAAGAGTAATAATACTTTACATTCCAAATCACAACTGTTTAAAATATTTGAAACTTTTCCAAATTGACTTTTTGTACTCATATTTCAAAACGATTTTTAAAAATAAAATTCAATGTGTTTTAGGAAATGAAATGACCAAATTTAGCTGAAGGAAGTTAACTTTTTCATTTTTTATAGATGAAGGATCGCCGGCAGCGTCAGGGGGCGGGGCTACTGGCTCAATGGTCGTCACGGCGACCCATCCATTTACAGGGCAGCAGCCCGGCGACCTGAGCTTCGTCCCCGGCGACCGGATCACCGTCATCACCAAGACGGATTCCCAGTACGACTGGTGGGAAGGACAGCTGGACGATGGCCGCGTCGGGATTTTTCCTGCCAATTTCGTGTCGTACTGACGTCGCCCCCTGGTGGTAGGATTCATGAAATGACAGGTGGATCAAATCGACGGGGCAAAAGCTGGAGGCTCTGATTAACTTCTAGGATGAAAGTTGTTTTAATCAGTGGCCACATGAATGTAGCTTTTATCTTCACTTGAATAAAAGGGATTCAATATTTTAGGGCTTTGACACATAAAATACAAAAGTTAATATAATTAGTGGAGCTGTGGGGATTTTCTTTGATGTTTCACCTGGATTGGTTTCAGTTTAACAGGTTTCACTTTAAATATTAAAATCTAAGTGAAGTTCATAGTTTTCTTTGTTAGGTAACTTTCATTAAATTCACATTTATTTTTTATAACATTGAGAGCTGAGGGCAAGTATTTCTTGTTTTACCCTTCAGAATAAGGGTTTGGTTTGGATTTCTGTCTGTTACAGCAGTTATGAGGACTGCTACAGTGCTTTTATATAAACTCAAACCATTATGATGGTGTTGGTTTCACTGAGAGTTGTGAATAAATGTTTTTTAAACAGATTAATTTGTACTAATTCTGTTCATCTTGTTTGATAAATGCTTCAAAACCTTGAATCAGGTGAAAACTAGCAAAAACAATTTACTATTGCTGGTTATCTTGATGCAGAATGAAATAATCTAGTAATAATAACTGCAAAACCATGTTTAACCGGCAGGGATACATCAGTAATGATTATATTTTAAAGAATCACAGCTCACAGTTCAACCTCATTTTGGCCAGTTGGGGGCGCTGTCTAACTGGTTTTGTTCATTTCACCTTTTCAAAGTCGATTGCCAGGAAACTTTTTCATATCAGTTTATTTTCAGTATTTAAAAACAATACAATGCATAAAAAACTCCAAACAAATAAAAAGTGAACCGTCAGAACCGCAGTCCAGTCTGAAGCAGAACCCAAATGGACCTTTGGAGTTCTGCTGTGTTTTGGCTCTTTGGTCGTATGAAGGTTTATTGCTGCGGTTAAAGAAACGGCGTGTTCGGCGTCTGGATGTCGACTTTCTCTGGCAGGACCAGCTCCGTCCTGCTGCTCACCGGCTTCCTGCTCAACAAATAACAGGCTGAGTCCAAACCCGCCACCGTTTCTTTAAAACTGGAGCTGTTCTCACCGTGGCCCCCAGAGGGCGCCCAGGCTGGCAGGCTGGTTCTTGGGCTGCCTGTTGCAGTCCTCCAAGGAGTCGGGAAGCGGCGCCCCGCTGGTCTCTGGCAGCAGGAGGCAGAAGCCGCAGCCCACGATTGGTCCGCTGCTGTACACGATCATGGCGGCCAATGAGATCGCTCCAGAGGGGCTGGGCGGGACGAAGGTGGCGACCAGGCAGCCGAGCCGGTACGAAAGGTTGACCAGGGAGATGCAGAGCTGTCTGGATGAGAGCAGCCGCCTGTTAGCCTGTGTGAAGCCGACACTGAGCAGTGAAGGCTCTGTCTCGGTACCTGACCCCCGTGGGGAACAACTCGATGCAGTACAGGACAGAGATGAAGGACGCAGCCAGAATGCAGAGTTTCCCCAGCAGAGCCAGACTCATGACCAGCAGCGGCGTTCCTGCATGCACAGGAAACATCTGTGATACCGGACCAGAAACCCGTCCAGACGCCAAACCGGTTCTAGTTCTGTAACCTCAAGGTAAACACAGAACATCCTGCAGATGCTAAATAGATACAAGTCCAAACACTGACTAAAATGTTTGCATGGCTTCAGATCAGAAAAGGCGACACTCTCACCGTTGTATCTGGACAGCAGTAATGATACCAAGCAGGCGGTTCCGCTTAGGAACAGGGCCAACATGGAGATCAGCCGGCGCCCGATCCGGATCAACGGGACCAGCAGACAGGGAGCCTCCGAAAGGCCGGAGAAGAACTGGGCGGCGTAAACGCCAACACCAAACGAGCCGATGTTCAGGCAAATCCCGTAGTAGGTCAAGGCCGTGGCAGCGCTACAGGACGAGAAGACAAACTGGAGTTAGTGCTTCTCACATCAAAACCCATCGACCCAGAAGCAACGGCTGAAGGAATAAAGGAGCCTGAACTTATAGAGAGCAATGAAGAGCACAGCATCAGATTTTGAATATAGGATGCAAAAAACGATCAAAGTTTAACATTTTTTCACTGTCTGGTGTGGCGTCGCTAAACCAGAGTCAAAAACATGCATGATCATCACGCTACTTCTGCAGGAAACGACTGGAGAGGGAGCGACGCCGCCGCCTGTGGGTTGAGCCGTTTGACAGTTCTCACATTCATCCCAGAGGTTAACAAAGCTGAGCTAAACTGAAGGTTCCCGTGTACTCTGACGTATCTCACTCTGGCGTATTTCACTCTGGCGTATTTCACTCTGGCGTATTTCACTCTGAGGCGGTGCTTTATGGAGACGGACACAACGGGACAGTGGTCGCTTTTTATGACCGCTCAGCATCATATCGATCATATTTCAGAATAACAAGTGTCTGTTTTTCCAACTAAACACCAGTTATCTGCAGAATGAAGGAACCTGGCTTCAGTTTGGACATGAGTTGGCCTATCGTCTTCTTCCAGTCGGTTTGTCTTTCTCTGTCTCAGTTGGTCTTTCTGTGGCTCCGGGTTTCTCTCCTCCTCTAAGAACCAGTTCATGATAACAGCTCAGTTATGTAACTGAATTGTGGCATGAAGGCAGCCAATGGGAGCAGATCTGGGACGGACAGTTTGGAGTTGTTGTTTGATGTGGTTCTGAGATATTTAGACAAGGAGGAGTCAAAGTTCACAGATGATATAATCCTTATTACTCGTTACCTTATGAAACTTTATTAAAAGCAAACTTCCTGTGTGCCTGGTGGAAGTTGGTGTACCTCAGGTAGCTCATGATGAACAGCCGCAGGAGGATAGTCGGGTGCCTCAGCTGTGTGATGTCACTGGGGGCGGGGCCTCCGGCCGTCTGCGCTTCAGAGGCTTTGTGCAGGTCGGACCAGGCCGAGTCCAGGAGCTGGACGGGAACACAGGGACTCAGCCTTACAGACGCAGAGACATGTCAAGAGTTTCACCACCAGATAGTTTTACCAGGTCCAAACACTTTTGATCTGCAGGGCTGTTCCTACGGTAACCCTCCAGAACATCCTTTCTCCTCTGTAACAACAGCCAGCGAGGAGATTCTGGGATGGATCTGCAGACGAGGAGGAGAAAGGAAGCCATGAGAAAGTTCCTGATGAGCGGGCTGGACGGACGGACAGACGGCGCAGGCGGGCGTACAGGTAGAGCGGCAGGCAGACGATCTGCGGCAGGGCCAGCACCAGGTGCAGGTACGTCCAGCTGGGGCTCAGCCAGGCCAGCGGGGCTCCGCCCATCGTCCCCAGGCTGAAGCAGAACGGCAGGAAGGCCGGCGGCCAGAGCCGAGCGGCCGGCAGGGTCCACTCCACCGCTGCCGGACAAACACACAGCAGGGACTCAGCAACGTGTGGACCCCGAGGAGTCGGCCTGGTCAGCAGGGCTCAGTCAGCCATTAGTGAGTCCACTCAGAGCCCTACGTTACTGACTGCTGCAGCAAAAACTGATCTGATTATATAAACCCAGCAGAGCTTCAACACCTGAAGACAGCAACTGTTAGTCACATCCAAAAAGAACGCATGAGGAGTTTCTGTCCTGCATGGTGTGGAAGGGCCTTGGTTGCATAACCTGAGGTCTGTGCTGACTCCTACTAAATATCCTTGAATTATTTACTGATCTAAGTAATGTCTGACTTTTCTTTTTATTCTGTCAATGAACCAGAACTTCTTCACTGAATAACCACTGAACCGTCTGAGCGGAGGATGCTGCACAGTGATGGTCGTTACCGAGGCTGAAGGCGCAGATGTTGATGCAGCAGCAGCAAACGGCCGTCAGGCAGCGAATGGCGAGGAAGAGGAGCGGCTGAGGAAACACGGCGGGCACCAGGCCGCAGAAGGCCTGGACGCAGGCGCAAGCTAGCAGCACCGGCCGCTTCCCGTACCTGCAGAGGAAACCCGACCAGGTCAGCAAAGCTCCACCTCCTACAGATGTGCATGTGTGTGAGTGTGTACCTGTCTGAAATAGCTCCGCCCACCAGGGATCCGAGCAGCAGTCCCACCATGTAGACCGTCTGACCATAAGACAGCCAGTCTGTCCAGCCGCACACTGACTGACACATGTAGACATCCAGAAGACACAGATGGATTACTGATCAGTGGTAGATGGACTAGTGCGGAGCCCCATAAGGGTCAACGAACTGTGGAACAAGCATCAGCTGAAACCCTGGTGGTGTTGGAGTGAGATATTTAACAGGAAATGACATCAGCGATGGTGCTGAACAGATAAAACCAGCAGGAAATAATAGTTTGCTTTTAGTAATCGGTCTTTTCCCTTTAAATAGCATGTCACTGGTATGAAACAAATGCTAAATTTATTTTATATTATATATCACAGCTGTATATTTGGATGACAGTCGTGATTTAACAATAAAAGGTAGTGTGTAAAGTTACAGAGGCTCTAAACTGAGGTGTAATAGAGCTGCTTAGAGTTCTTAGAAGCACAGTGTTGCCCCACACATGACCCGCAGATGACCCGGGACGGCCCACGTGTGGGTCTGCAGCCTCCTGTCAGAAACAGCAGGATCCAAAATGTTCAGGTTTGACTTTAACCAGCCGATCTACAGCCGCATGTTGTACATTAACAGAGGACCGCATCAGTTATGTAATCCACATGTGTGAGAAATTAATCCCTCCACTGAAAAAACTCCCTCATGTCAAAGAGAGACATTATAGTTAAAAAGGAAGAATTTAAGAGTTTTCTTTAATGAAACAGTAACAGGAGGCAGGAAGAACCGCGGGGACAAAAACACGTGTTTAAACGTTATCAGGAAAACAACACAAGTTGCTAACTCACGTGCAGCTGCGATTCGCCCGTCCTCCAATCAGCGCTCAGCTCCGAAACTTCCCCGTGCTGCGATTGGTTGTTGTCCGCGCTGGGCGGGACATTTCCGAGCCAGGACGAGGACGCTTCAGTACCGTTGTCATGGCGACAAGTTCTGTCAGCGATAGCGGCTGTAAAAATGTCAAGGAAGAAGAGGAAAGGCGTGAAAAAGAAGAGGAGGGCGAGCCGCCAGTAGACGGACAGCTGGAGTGGAGACATGGCGGCGGTTCCGCTGGACCGGTCCGGGTCAGGTCCTGCTGGTTCTGGTCGGATTTGGGAGAAGTTTCAGAAGCTGCTCATGTTGCTGCTGAACGGTTCTGTGAGCAGCTGCTGCTGTCACTGCGGGGACACTCTGAGCCCAGCAGGCGGGTCGGATTCACGGCCAGCCTTCTTTCCCGCTTATGGTCCCGCAGCGGAGCGCTGTGTGCAACACCGCCACCTGGTGGTCGGGGCTGCGCACTGCACAGGAGGAGGTCAGGGATATGGAGGGCCAGAAAGGACAAAATTAATTAAACGCGTCTTTAAATCATGAGTTAAATAAACCAAATAATAAAGTTTACAAAATATATATATTTGATGTAATAGACAATTGATTCCATTATTCACTAAAATGCAAACTTATAGCCAATGCAGGTGTTTTATTAAATATATAGACTCATTATGGATATAATTTTATCTGACAAAATCACCCAATGAAATGTCAGTGGTGTAGCTAACACTCAACTGTTGAACTCCTTTACAGATCTATTCAATAAATTAGAATATTATTTATAATTAGGAACTTTATCACAAAGTGAAACACATTAGATGCATTAATTTCACCTAGATGAATATTTGAAAATCTTTATTTCTGCTATGTCTGATGATTTCCCACCTATAGCTAATTAAACATGACATTTAAAATTATAATTTCACATTAGAGCAATAATAAAAATACAGAAACCACAGTTTGCAGATAAAGTAATGTTGTAGGAGGAAAGTGATGAGTATAGCTGCTAATCTTGTACTTATTGTAACAGTGAGTCTCAGTGGTCTTCTTGGATTGCAGATTTATTCTTCTCCAACAAGATAATTAGTGCATAAAACCCAATGAGTCCAAAATACACAACAACAATATTTAGACGCACCTCCATGCTTAGTTACATGAGCCCGCAGCGCCATCTAGTGACCAAACAGATTATAACACATTTGGTTCCTGCATCTGGTCTCCATTGTGATGTAGCTCAATGGATCTGTAGTCCACACACAACCTGTTATTCTGTCTGACTGTTGGATCCTATACATCCCCAAACTGATCTGCATTCTGGTACCAGGAAATCCAAGTTCATCCAGACATTGTGAATGCTAAGATTGGGTTTACAGAGACAGAAGACGCTAAAGTTCATCATAATGAATGTAAAATTGAGAAAGTCATGTCAAAGACAGCAGGAAGACCTGACCATTGCCTGAAATGAGGATGTTAGGAAATCCAGATCGAGTTAAAGAGTTGGAGGAAGAAAGTAAAGGAAACAAGAGCTTAAAATACGACTGTAGAAAAGAGAAGTTATGTTACAGTTCCTTTTTGAGGATACATAAACCAAAGACCAAAGTGAGATTAAAAATAGATAAACAGAGTGAAAAGGGATGAAGATGAAATGAAAGAAGGTTTGGAGGAAGTCTAAAAGTGGGCCGTGAAACGAAGAAGTGATGCGGAAGGAAAGACAAGATTATTGTCTGCTGGGTTAATAAAGGACAAAGCAGCTCAGTGTCTTCAGAGGGACCAGGTTCAACATCATCACTTTATTCAACACATCAGTAAACATTTCCACTGCATCAGTTCATGTATAACAAGAAACACAGAAAAGTCCAGGGTAAACTCCAGAAGTCCCATCATGCCATGCTGTCTCCAGGTCGCCTCATCTCCATCACCACGGTGGGCATGGCGGAGAGCGGCGTGGAGTAGGCGGACGCCATGCTCTGCACGCCGGCCAGCAAGATGCGCCAGCTGTACCGCAGGGCTTTACAGATGTTCTGCACCACAGAAGAAGAAGAAGAAGAAGAAGGTTAGTGGATCTTTCTTCATGCTGAAACTACAACTGGTCAATAAATCAATATATATCACAATGCATGCATGATCAATATCAACAGATATCACAACTGATAGAATATTCAGTACATGGACGATTCACTGAACTCTGATCCAGAACCGCACAGCATTCTGGGAGATGTAGACTTTAGCTGCTCAAACTCTCACGACTAGCTAAAGCTAGTGGTTACCTAGCAACAACCTAGCAACAAATATCATGATATTTTTATGTTTCCTCTGGAAAGAGGAAGAAGGACGAGGAGAGAGGAAGTGACGACCACTCTCACGCCAGCCAGAACCAGTGAGTCCAGTAGGACCAGAAAACAGTTCTGGTCTCTGCAGGTCCTCACTGTGATCCAGTTGATTCTTCCCACAGTCCACAAACGCAACAGGATTATAATGACGCCTAGCGGCCGCTTCTAGTACTGCATCTAAAAATGAGGTTTCATGGTGATAAACTGTCCACTGCTCAATAAAATGGGACAAAATGTCCAAGTGGACGCCGTCCTCTGGGTCTGGACCCGGACGTTTCTTTACAGTGTTATCTCTCTCAGTGATTGAGACTCTCGGTTGTCTGCTCAGGAAGGAGGGGTCAAAGGTCAGGACCACAAAGCAGAGTTAATGTTTAACAGCTGGACTGCTGGAATGTCAACAAGCAGAAAAATCAGAAGTTTACTTTAATAAATGTTTCATATTAATATATGACACATCCATGCTCTTCATTAACATGTTTTATTATCTCCAGGTAAAACATCAAACATTTTTTATTTTCAGTGATATATTTTTTTATTAATGCCGTTAATTTTTATTGAACAGAAAAGTGACAGAAGACCAGGTCAAAGGTCATCTTACCTTCCGACACTTCTTGCACCTCTTCTTCCTCTTTCTCTTCTTCTCCTCCTTTCTCCTCCTCCTCTCCTCCTCTTCCTCCTCTCCCTCCTCTATCAGCGGTTCGTATTTATCCGGAAGGACGCAGAAATAAACGTCTTTGGAGGTTTTCTGTTGCTTCTTCCCCTCCAGAGGAGCTGCGGCCTCCTCCTGCTCCTCCGCTCCCATCCCTCGCTCCTCTCCTTTCACCTCCTGCTCCTGTTTTACGGCTGAAGGACCTTTGAAACGAGGAGGAGTCAAACTTTATGAGTGGCCTGAAGCTCCCTGCAGACTCAGGAAACGGGAAAACATCAGATTACAGAGGAATGTGGAGAGTTTGGGGAAATCAGAGGAACTCAGATGTTCAGCAGGTTGTTCATTTTGAGGAAAAAATCACTAAAACCCTGAAAACCCACAAAGCCACAAAGCCATTCCTCTGAACTGTGAATTTTTTTTTAATGTAAACTGAAAGCCTCCTAAAATAGATGACTGTCGTTGAAGACATCAGTTTTTCTTGGTTTCAGTTCTGATGTGAAACAGGATCCAGTGATTTCAACCTCAACTGGATCTTCTTGGTTCTGGATCTTCCCCAGACGCATTTATGTATCATCATTCATAAACCAGACCATCGATAAACAGCCTAAAGCACAGATCATTTTCCTGCCGTCATGGCTTCTTCCTGTCAGTCCAGATCGGTGCAGAACTCGTTTCTCATTTTCAGCCAGCGTCTTCATAGTTTTGGTTTCTGTGACGTTTGTTCTTGAATATGATTGATGAACATCTCGGCTGATTCTTTTGATTTTGAAAAGGTTTGAGTAAATTCATTCAAATGTTCTTAATTGATTACAGACGGACTTTAAAGAGTTAATTTAATTTAATTAATTACATCAATCATTAACTTTGCTCCAATGTGATGAACGACAGATTAAAAACTATAAAGTATCCAATAATTTACCAGTAAAATGGATTTTGAATAGAAAATGCTGCTTGTTTTGTTTATTTGGTTTCATTAAAATGGGATGAATTAATCACCTGGATCTTCTGAAAGGATGATCATGAATTAAATCTTTATCTTAATCTTATTTTTGTTTTTTTTGTCCTGGATTTTTTTGACCTTTGACTCGTTTTTGACTTGAACTTTGACCAGGAACTAAAACGTTGGTATCAACTCAGCTCCTTCCTGGTTTGAGTTTAGACTGTACCAGTCAGACTGTGAAATACTTTTCTTTCAGTTTTCACTCAGGCAGGAACAAGAACAGCTATTTTTACCCTCAGGGCCTTGAGGAAGAAACCAAGAAAAGTTCAGAAGATTATGGAAGAAAATAATAAGTTTAAGTCAGAAGCTTGTTCACATTTGGCTGCTTTATTAAATTGTAACAACAGGAAAGTTCAGTGCTATGTAGAAATATATCACACAGATCAGCTGCTTCACGCGCTGACATGAAGATGAAGCATCTTTGCACATTTCAACAGCTTCATGGATAAATACAAACAATCATTTCAAGCTTTGTCACATTACCCTAAATGAACTACAATTAACCAACAAACCCAGAAGAAAAATGCTTCCCTGTTTTCTGTTTTGAATCCACATGTGGGTTTGAGTTGTGCAGTAGTGTGTTCCCCGAGAGGCTGATGCTCTCTGGCTTCATGAGGCTTTCTGGGATTTGGATGCTTTTTGACCCTGAAGAAAGAAAAAGAAAAATAAGAGAAAAGGAAGATAGGAAGGCAGATATTAACAAAATCTCAATTTGTTCTTTTGTTAAACCGGTAAACGCTCACCAACCACTCAGCCTCCTTCTCTAACTAACTTGTCTCTTTTTCAACTGCATTTACAAAAACGACTAACAACGGAATAAACGCCAAGTCACTTTCTAGAAGTTTTGTGGAAACATGAGGGTGACAGCAGAACGCAGCTGCTGGAGAAACCTAAATGAGTGTAATGGAAATAAAGTGAACTGAGGTGTGACCACGCATAGAGAGAGTTGCTGGCTACTTGAAATGTCATGTAACAGTTTGTTCAAAAGGCTGAGAGCGCTGACAGGAAGTGGGCATCCTGTGTGTGTTCGGGGTTGTGTGTTTTCTGTTACGAGTCTATGTGGAGTGATAACAGGAATTTGGTTTCAGTGGTTTTCATTTGCTCAGCCCTCTAGTTTCATTTATGTTCACTGACCTGAAACGCTGCACCAATCAACTTTATGGGAACTCAAACTCCATCTAAAGTGTTACTGATGCAACGGCAAGACTAGATTTTCTCCGAATGTTTGAGTGGATGACTCAAAAAGGACTTTTATCTACTAGAAACAGAAAATGAGGAAAACATAAGACATTCAGAACATTTCTGAGGCGTAACATGGAGTCATTTCTCCCACAAAAGTCTTAACTACCAAAGTCAGACTCCACAAGAAACCATCAAGTTTAAAGTCAGTTCAAAGTCCGGTCAACTGGCCAGAGTCAAAAAGACAAGGTCAGTTCAGCGGGCAGGATCCCAAAGACCCAAGGCCTAATCAAAGTTCACCGTCAGGTCACAGGAGCCAGGTTCCAAACTCAAACTAATGACAACCGAGACAAGGAATCCAGTTTAAAGGTCCAGAGGTTGTTGATGTAAGGAAAGCTGGAGTTCCTGCCTTCGCTCTGAAACCAACACAAAGCAGCTGCAAGTCAAAAGCTGGGAAGGTTCAAACTTTAAGACCAAGTAGGACAATTGCTGCAGTTCAAAACTAAAATCTATGGAAGTCCTGACGAGTCGAGACTAGATGATGTTGAAGTATCAACCACAAGTCGAGTGGTTGGTACTTCAAACGGCTTTCACTGCATCGAGTGGAAGAGCCAACCGTGGTTCTGGCCTCGCTTCCACTCAGCAGCCATTGTGTTTGTTGTCCTGTTGAAAATGTTTCTGCTGTCAATCAGGACAAACTTCCTGTTTCTTACAGGCAGGCTGACGGTCAGCCCATTGGGGGCCTTCACACCCAGACTCAGCTTCTTCTTCCAGAGGTAATAATACTCCACACACTCTGGCAGGGACTTGGACCGAACCTAAAGCACACAAAACGGGTCACACATGTTGTAAATCAGACATATCTGCATTCACGTGTCAACTGGTTCATATTGGACCAGAACCGGACCCAGCGCCAAACTCACCACTTTCTGGACGCTGCTGAAGTCTTTATGGTGGATCTGCAGGGATTTAACCAGCAGCTTCTTCTCGGCGGCGCTCCACTGAACTCCTGCAGCACACACATGTTAATGCAACATCTACCTGTTGTATTTCTGGGTTCAATCAGGCGTTACTGCTTGGTTCTGATCAACAGGTACCAACTGACCGGTCTGGTTGCGGGAGGTCTGTGGTTCTGTTAGCATCTTCTCCACCGTCAGCTGACAGGACAGATTACCGTTAGCTCAAACAGATAAACCAACAAAATAAAAGCACATCAACAAACCGCCAGGCGTCACTTAAACCGGAAAACGTTCCCTTCTCTATTTTTGTCCTGATATTGATAATCATTCCAGAAGTTGAAAACATATTTTTACTGTTTTTGATGAAGTTTTTGTCTCTGGAGGGTCTTTACTGTTTTTTGCTCTTTTTGTGATCTGTTTCATTTTATTCTTTTGTCCTGTTTTCTTTGTTTTCTCTGTGTTGATATTTCTATGTCTGGATTTTCACATTTCACTGAATTTATTTCTGTATTAAGAGCCTGGGATGTATTTTGGCTCTTTTGACGTTAATGTTTCCATCTGTTTGTGTGTTTGTTTTGCTGTATTTGTTGTTTTCCCTTCTGTTTCTTATGTTTTTCATCCTTATTGATGAAGGTTTTCTGACTCTATTGGACCCATAAGGCCTCCTCAGACGATAAAACCATTTCAGTTGATGATTCTCCTCATATTAATAAATTTCTTCTGAAAACTGCTTTACGGTGATGTTTTACCAGGAAGTCTCCTTTGCACTGTGCCAGCAGCTGCAGGGCGTGTTCTGGCCCGGCCCGGGCTCCTGGTACCACACTGGACCGGGCCATCATCAGCAGAGCCTCCACTGCAACAACAGATCAAGAACGTTTTAAATTCATTCCAAATTCAGAACGCTCTGCAGCTGTTTTTATTTCTCTGACCTCTCTGCTGATCGACGGGACACTCCATCTCGTCATACGGCGTCCACAGCAGCAGTGCATTGTGGGAGTCGGCCCAGGCGTATTTTCTGTCCCGTAAGGACGGGATCTCGGCCTGGAAGCTCTTCCCAAAGTTGATCCGCCTGAGATTAAGAGCTCACAGTCAGTAAGGGACGTTACTCCTAAAACCAGATTTCAGAAGTTGAGGACGTACGGCTTGATGCCTCCTGTTGCTATGGGCTCTGGTGGAGGACAGGCGGTTGCCATAGGAACAGGGTCACCTAAACCTGTCAATCAGAGACTCATATTAAAGCTGCAGTTTTATGAACATATTTGATAAAACTGACACGCTGCAGCTGGAACCCAACATGTCGCCCAGTCAGACTCGTTTCTCAGTTTTTTTCAGGACTTACTGTGCAGCTGCATGGTGTCTGCTCTCTGCTGCCTCCTGGTGGTGACGGAGCAGTACAGCCCCGTCCCAGGCCTGTCGGGGCGCAGCATTGGGGCAGGGGTGTAGTGACCCGGGTCAGCTGTCTGAACCCGGCTGCCCGGAGATCCAGCCTCTTCCTGCTCCTTCTGATGCATTAGGCTGCGGTGCAGCACAGCGCCCCCGCTGGCTGGGGTGGGCGTAACGCCTTTCGTCTGCCCGGACATTCCTCTGGTTTGGACCGGGACTGAAACGGGCATCACGATGGACACTGGGCTTTGAGAGGGAGGAGAGGCGTCCTAAAGAGAGCAAGGACAGAAACGTCAAAACGTTCAGCCTAAACTTTTCACACTGCTATTTATTCTGTCCACTAGAGGGCAGCCTTTCTCTATACATATAAGCATTTCTACAAATAACCTTTTGGAACAGAAGTGCCAACATCTGAACTATGTGTGAACGAGCATTTATGGCATCTTTTGTCAAACAGAACCAGTGAGTCCGGACCTTTTTCTGCCGTGTGGGCGATCTGAAGCCGCTGTGGGAGCGCATGTGTCCGTTTAATGCTGGGAGACTCTTAAAGTCGCGGTTACACACCGTGCACAGCAGCCGGCACCTGCTTCCAGAAACACAACATGAAACCATCAGTGACGTCAGACATCGCTGATGATCACCAGCTCATGAGGATCAGATTACCTGGAGTCCAGAACCGCAGGGGTTCTGATAGGCTGCAGCTGCTTCCCCTGGAACCAGCAGAGAAAACACAACTTAGACGTGGCAAAGTGTCAGATCGAGTCATTTGCAGCTGATCAGCATCAAGACCAACCCAGTTCCAGTCGGGTTGGCTTTCAGCCCCTTTTCTTGGCCCTCTTCTTCCTCCTCTACACTCATCCTTGCAGCTCCGCCCCCCAGATAGGCCTGGAGTCGGACCAGAACCGCTGCAGGCTGGACCTCTGTCCAGAGGGGACAGGCTGGTCTCCAGGCTGCCGGTGGCGTCCTCCGCTTCGCTCTGCCCCGGCAGGAGGTTCTGGGTTCTCTGGTGGGGATGGGTGCTGTCGGAGGTCGGGAAGTAGCTGCTGGGGTCGCTGGGAGACAGCGTGGCGATGGGGACCCTGCTCAGCTGGTTGGACGTTTGTTTGGGACAACCTGTCCGCATCTGAGGACCTGGACTGGAGACGGCCGGCGTCGGTGGGTAGTGAGGACTTGGACCCGGGGTTGTTGGGCTGCAGAAGGGCTGCTGGATGTTTCCATGGTAAGCCTCGTGGTAGAACTGGTTGTTGGGGAAGTCCTCAGCAGGGGAAGAGCTCATCTCCATGGAGCTCCATCTGCCAATGGCGTCGGCTGCAGAGGAGGAGCCCAGAGGAGGACACTGCACCTGGGACAGGGTGGGGGACAGGGAGTCCCAGGTGGGCGGGGCCTGACCTGCCGGGTTGCTCTGATCAAACACGCCGCCGGCATGAATCGATGCAGTGTTATAGGCTTTGGCTGTTCGCTCCACCTCGTCCGTGTGGGGCGTCTCACCGGTGCTGTACTGGTACTGGGAGGGTGACTGGTTCTGGAACAGATGATCAGGGAACTGTCAGAGTCTCTGCTGGTTCTGCTGGGTTAGCAGAATGATGACTCTTACCTGGTAGGAGAACCCGTTGAGATAACATGACAGATCGGAGGACGCCTCACACTTGTTCCAGTCGGTGTAATCCAACTCTGGGTCCGGGTTCTGGTTGTACAGGAAGTGCTGAGGTTGGGGAGTGAGGTGAGGGGAGCTAACCTGAGGACTGTGGAGGAGAGGGGAGTGGTAGGAGGAGTTGACCTGGGCTGAATGCAGGTGAGCAGAGGTCATCTGGGGCTGATAGAAGAGGTGGGAGGGGGATACCTCCATCTGCGGGGAGGCGACCTGCGGCTGTGTGAGGTGAGTGGAGGTCATCTGGGCCTGGGGGAACTGGAAGCCTGAAGCCTGGGTCTGCAGTCTGAGGTTCGGCGAGGTTCCCTGACACATGTGAGGGGACGAATTCTGGGGCGGATATAGGTGAGGCGACGACACCTGGAAAAAACAGATGTTTAGAAGCAAGCAAAGCTTCAGAAAAATTACATTTGTTTGATGAAGGAACCTTGGCAGGAGAAGGGTTTCCATGGCTCCTGAATAAGGAGGTGGAGAAAGGAGGGAGGGAGGGCGTCCGAGGAGACTGGTGGACGATGGGAGGAGGAGACGCTGCCGGGAATGTCCACAAGTCAGACATGTCTTCATGCACACACACTGCTGTGGATCCTGAGCGCGTGGATGGATAGAAACATGGTTTATGTGCAGCAGGTGATGTTTTATCTGGACAGCATCACCTGTAGAGAGACAGATTACAGAGGAAACCCTTTAAATCGCAAGAAACTCCACATGTTCCTGTCAATTAGAGCAACATTCATTGAAAGGTTGAGGTAGAGCAGCAGGTCTGTTCAGTTTTAGTTTCAAAATGATTCAGACCTTTTCTTTCCTAACACTGAGTCTGACTGATCAAAAGGGTTTCATGATCAATGTCGTTTAAGTAGAAGAGACCAAAGACAAGATGTTTGACCACAAAGCGCAGAGCAACGTTTGACGTCATTAAACACATCTGGTGAGCCGGTAAGCATGGAGGTGGAGGAGTGATGATCTGAGCTTCTTGTTCAGCCACAGGTCTGGGGGCCTTTGCAGTAACTGGGTCAGGAAAGTTTCTCCACTGCCGTCTCAGACTCCTGCTGAGACGGCAGTCCCTCTGAGGTCACCACCGTGACGATCGGTTGAAGTCCGAGGAACTTCAGCTGGTCCTCCACCACATCCCGGCTGCCGGCTCAGCCTCGACGCCTCCAGTAAACCCCAGCCTACATCTGGGTCTGCCTACTGACTTCCGCTCCATCTCTGATCACCAGAACCCTAGAACCGCCACTCGGTTTCGCTCTTGTACTCCAGCCATGAGAACCTTCAACTACCAGACACTCTGTGGCCTCCATGCAGGCCTGATGCACCAACCGCTGCCTGTAAACTGTTTGCTCAACATATTGGGGTCACAGTTGTCCCCATGTGGACAGATCTGGGTATTTTGATGGACTCAGTCCTGCAGAATCAAGTACATTTCATGAATCATTTTTAAATATGGAGGATAGATGAAGACATTAGGACTAGGTTTTGTTAAAGCTTCTGTGTTTCTGACTTCTGGCCGTGATGCTCAGCGACTGTCGGAGCAGATCTTTTTTTGGTGCTGATGTTCAGCCACACAGAAGCGACATCTATCTGTATGACTAAGTGTGAACGTGTGATAACAGGACACAACTAAGAGTTCGCACCCAGAAATGATAAACCCAGCTTCCTTCTTACTAATGATTTCAACTTTTCAAAACAGAAAACTGCATTCTAACTAAAACCCTCCTAGTTTTACAACCACATTTAGATTTTTGAAAACTGGATTTGAATGAAAGCTGATTAAAACCTGAGTCTGAATTTCAGAAGAAAGAAACTTTTGTAGATTTCAAGCAGCTTAATTTGTGAACTTGTCTTCAGTAACTTCTCCTTTGGAAATTCAGCATATTAGCAAAGAAACCATAAAACATCTCGATTAAAAACTTCATAGAACATATTTAAATGTTGACACATGATAAACTAACAGTAAAAGGATAATATGTAGAACATATGCAGAGATATTAGCATAGTCATAAAGTTTAAATGAACATTTCTCACCTGAAACATCTCCGACTCACCGACTCTGGCTGAGTGTGTGTGAGTCGGGTTTTGTGTGTTTGCGTGTTGTCAGGAAGTGGTCACATGTTCTTCCTCTCTCTGGTCGACTCATTAGACTCTGAGCTTCTTCCTCATGATGACGGCTTTAGATCAACCAGCTCAAAAATAGAGTAGACTCTCAAATAAAACTCAGTTCAAAGGGAACTTGCTTAGTTCTCGTTTAACCCAATATATGTGTATATATCTTCATATATGTATATATACATAATTTACCGTCACATTACTCAGAGAAACACATTATGTGGATTAACACAGACTGATGCTTTTAAGCTTTTAGGAGTTAATGAAACAGTTAGTTCAGGTTAAAGTATCACATCAGACCAATAAAAACACATTTAATGGAAGTGGTTGTAAAGGTTGTTCTTTTCAAAAAGTACATTTAATCTGACAAACGGAGCTCATCAGATCCAGGTTCTAACACATGAATTTTGTTCGGTTCCATCTGAGGTTCTTCTAAGTATCTCAGCTGAACTTTTCTGAACCGAGACTTTGTGGTTGTTCCTGGAATCAGCTGCAGCCACGCCCCCAGATGTGGGGTTAACGCTCCAGGTTGACCATTGGCACCACTGAGGCCTCCACTCTCCACAACTTCTCTATTTCTGCTTTCAGACGTTGGTATTTCTGGAGTTTCTCCTTCACTTGTTGTTATTGACTGGAATTGCTGCATCTACCGTTGCTGGAATCTTTTCTGCCTGGTCCATCTGTCTCCATTCCTCTATTTCTGAGACGACTGGTTGACTAGTTGACTGGGCCTCTGTCAAACTGGGTCAACCATTTTAAAGGAGGGGAAAAATTTGGGCAATTAGTTATGTTATATTGCACATTTTTCTCATTGTTGAAACTTTTCAGGTCAAAGTCAGTTTTTGTTGATGATGATTGATTTGTAAATTCAATAAAAGGGTAAAATATCCAAGAAGGTGAATAGTTTTTGTAGATACAATGCAGGATGTGTTTCAGTTATTTATGTTGGAGCATTAGTGTTGGTCATGGTGGCGTCTAAATATAATAAACTAACTTATTTCCTCTGTATAAAATAAGCCTAAATTATATTAGTGTACTCCAATCAGTCAATCGATCAATCCATACTACAAAGAGATAAAATAACAATAAAGTCAGACAGATGTTCAAACTTAAGATCAAAATCTAACAAAACAAATTAGATGAACGAAAAATCCACCAAGTGGAACCTTTACCAGTTAAAAAGAACGTCAACTCCGGATACATTACAGGGACGGACTGAACGGAAACTCCAGTATTAAATGTGAAATTTTACTTCAGAATAAGAGCACAGACTTTAATTCATAGAGCTGTATACAAGCACCCATTTAATCGACTTAAATATGAAAAATATGCTAATTATCCGAATACTTGGTTCGATTAAAATATTAGCAGTAATAACAAAAATATTAAAAACAAGTTAAAGTGATACTTTAGCTGCAAAAAGAGGGATGTTAAATATAGAAACAAAAAAATCCCAATCATGAACAGATTGACATACATTTTATGACAAATGTAAGTAAAATATCTTTTAAAAACTGAGATAAACAGGAATTAAAACACAAATATGTAAACTAAAACAACACCATCAAATTTAGTCTGGTTAGAGAAAAAAGTAAAGAATGAAGGCTTATATCAATAAAAAGAAATGTAAACCAGCCAAATAACATGAAAGCTCTTAAGTGTCAAAAACAGATGGTAAAGTTTAAGATGTTGTTACAAAGGTTATGGAAATTAACATTCTTTATTATAATAAACTTGGTTTTTGTTTTCTTGTTCCTAAATAGAATACATGTGAATTTTATTGTAGAACTGTACCATGACAGTTATTTTCATGTTTACATGATTTCCAAATCAACGTTCGGCTTTTATTCTGAAGGGTGTAACGGAAGTTGTGTATCCAGCGAGCTAAACGGGCACCGCTGGTGTCCAGAAGCAGCGTCTCCTTGGGTCAGGTCAGTAGCTCTTTTACAGCTACGTCAATATTTAATGTGTGGTTTGAAGTAGTGACCTTCATAAAACAGTTTTTATTGTTGGTTTCTCAGCAGAAAACGGAAGAGATCAATGCTAAAGCTAATGCTAACGCTGCTGTTCAGAGAGGGCGGGGCGAGTCGCGTGTTAAATAAATATTAATGATTAAAAATAACCGTTTCGTTGGCGTAAAAATGCTCACTAAAAATAAATTGAAATTGTATTTAAATATAATTAAAATTTATGGAAATGTTTTTGAGATTATAGATTATGTTTTGTTTACTAATTTTTAAAAATAACCAGATAATCACACTCAAGTCATAGTAACACAATTTTATAATATTTTGACTCAAATTATAGTAAAATGCTGCCATCCAAAAAATTTAGAGAAAAGAAGTATTTGGTAAAAATGTCTCAAGTAGTGAATAACTCATGCAGTTTTTAATCATTTAATATCTTTAAATTACATATCAGATGGATCAAAACATAAAGTTAAGTGAAAATTTTGATCATTTTATATAAGTAACAAAACAAAATCAGTTCAATAAAAACTGATGAAACTAACAAAACCTGCAGGTGTGTCTCTGGTCAAAACATTCAGAAATTTTACTCAAGTAAGAGAAATGATTCATAGTAAAATTACTCAAGAAAAAATAAATAAAAACAAAACAATATAGTAGAAATACTACCAAAAGTAGTTTTTTTTCCCCAAAATTGAGTTACAACCCAACTCTGACAATTACGCTACGTACTGTACATGTGAATAAACTGCTTCTTGTATGTGACCTCTGACCCCAGGTGTGATGAAGCTTTAGACCCCAGGAGGACGATGCTGTCCCACCTCAGAGGGACGTTTTATGTCCAGCGGGCCTGGAGCAGCTCCAGCTGCCTCTTCATGGACCTGTCCAGTCCTGGGCTGGTCCTCCAGTCTCAGTCCACCGATGTGTTCCAGAACCTGGCGCTGGAGGACTGGATCGACGCCCACGTTGACCTGCACCAACGCAGCATCCTGCTGCTGTGGAGGAACCGGCCCGCCGTCGTCATCGGCCGCCATCAGAACCCGTGGGCCGAGTGCAACCTGCCGGCCATGAGGAGCGCTCAGGTCCCTGTGGCCCGGAGACGCAGCGGCGGCGGGACGGTCTACCACGACCTTGGGAACCTCAACCTGACCTTCTTCGCCTCCAAGAAGGCGTACGACCGGAAGAGGAACCTGAAGGTGGTGACGGACGCCGTGCGGAGAGTCCGGCCGCAGCTGGACGTCCAGGCCACGGACAGGTTGGACATTTTACTGAACAGACGCTACAAGATCTCAGGTAGGCTGGCGCCCCCTGCTGACAATCGATCTTCAGTCATTACTGCTGGAAAATAGAGATCAGGATGAACTCTGACCTTAACCCTCAGGGCCACATAAAGACGGTTACAAAGTTGGCCTTGTTTATAAATCACTGATCAGTTTAGCACCACAACATTATTAAAAATCTGTTGCAGTTATATCAACCTTCCAGACCTCTCAGGTTCTGGTTCTGGTTCTGGATGCAGAGCAAAACCAGAACCAAACATGGAGAAGCAGCATTCAGCTTCTATTCACCACACATCTGGAACAAACTTCTGGAAAACTGGAAAACAGCTGAAACACTGAGTTCCTTAAAATCTGGACTAAACCCCAGCTGGTTAGAGCTGCTTCTTACTTTCAGAACTGCATTGATCAATATATTTGATGTGTATTGATGATTTTGTTGATGACATTTCACAAAATTGTCATCATTATTTCCTCAAAATGGTGACTGATATCTTTATTTTTGTATTTTGATGATGGAAAGCACTTTGAATTTTCTTGTTGCTGAAATATGCTGTACACCTGAACCTGATTGATTGATTGATTGGTTGATCGATCGATCACTATTGTTGTCATTCATGTTGTTTCAGGCACAGCGTCCAGACTCAGCAGGAAGTCCTCCTACCATCACTGTACCCTCCTCCACTCGGCAGACCGCTCTGCCATTGCCGCTCTGCTCCGCCCCTCTTGTCCCGGTATCCGTAGCAACGCCACACCCAGCGTCCCCTCACCTGTGGCCAACCTGACAGACCACGCCCCCTCCCTGCAGTGGGAGGAGCTGCTGGAGGCTGTGGTGCAGCAGTACAGCTCAGGTCCTCTGTGCTCTTCGATGTCTGGGTGAAAACGATGAGGTCTGGTTGGCTGACGTCTTTCTGTCCTCTCCCGCTCTGACCTGCAGAGTTTGGCATCATGTCTGCGTCCCGGCGGGTCGACCCGGCCGACGAGGCTCTGTTTCCGGGCGTTGGCAGTATGGAGGCGGAGCTACGCAGCTGGGAGTGGACGTTTGGGAAGACGCCAAAATTCAGTGTGGAGACGCAGCTGGAGCTGAGGGACGAGCAGCCGGCGGCTCGCTGTAGCGCTCAGCTCCAGATGGAGGTGAAGAACGGGCGGGTGGAGAGCTGCCGGGTGGAGGTACCGGCCGCCTGGCTTCCTGAGCGGCTCAGCGCCTCGCTGGCCCAGGCTCTGCTGGGAGAACGCTTCTGTCCTCACCGGGCCGCCGCTGCTCTGAGCGCGCTGCTGCGCTGCGAGAGCGGGCCGCTGCACAGCCGCCTGCACAGCCGCCTGCACAACCTCTGTGACGTCCTAGTGGCTGCTATGGGCTGAGGACCGCTGCCCCCTGCAGGCTGCTACTGTCATTACAGCAGTCAGAAACAACAAACTCCACATACTGTGGATATTAACCAGAACACGATCACAAAAAATATGGACAGAAGAAGATTAAGGCTGATGAAAACAAAAGAGTATACACTTTATTCTTAAAATTATGTTTTTAATCTCAGAATCCTAGATTTAAGTCTCAAAACTAACAAATAAAAGTCAGAATCTAACTTTAAATTCATAATTCTGACTCCAATCTCAAATTATTTCTTCTTTTTTCTCCAAATCTGATTTCAGTCTAAAAGTTCTGTAATTTTTTCCCCAAATTTTTCCATCTGTCTTTCTTTGGCCTTAATCCTTTTCCGTATCAGTAAGAATTAATTAAAGAAGATTAATTCTCTTTTTCTGTCACACTAACATTAGTCTGACCTCATATAAACTTGTCATCTGCTGCTGTTTACCTCAAAATTTATTAATAACTAAAGTTTAAATGTGTTTGAAAATAAAGACTATTTTTACATGTGGGCATTTTTACTAATTTTTAATACAACAACATGTAATATAGTTATAATTAATGTTTTTTTAAAAAGGAAGATGTAAATACGACAAAGCGCATGCGCAGCAGTTCATCTCCAAGCCATGTGTCCACCTGGAGGAGCTAAAATGAAGATGTGTCACTCTGACGTTAGGTCAAGAATATACTAAATTAATTCACTCGTTTACTGTAACTGTTCTGTTACTTAATTATGTAAACTTGTATTATAGATGTAAAGAATGCTTTAACACATTTCTTTAGGAAACGCGCTGTTTAATCTTACTAATATTTAATTTTTTAAGCAGAGTGAGATATCTCCCCATTGTGTTCACAATATAGAATCTTTGTCCAATGTGAGCCGTCGTGTTCGTCTGCCAGAAGAGAGCCAAGTTTCAGCAGAAGCACAGTGGCACCATGGGGAAGAAACAAAAGAAATCTGGAGAGGACAGGTAGGAATGACATGTCCTACTGTCCATAAACATCCTTCCAGGGTGGGACCGGGCAGAGAGAACTTCCCCGCCGCCTTACATACCTGAAACGGGCCCGTTCCCCTCTGTTTGAACCGTTAGCTTATCGGCTAAGTGATGCTAACATGCTAACCACGAGTCATTGTAGGTGTGTGAGTTCAGGTGAGGCTGCTAACAACCTGGAAGTGGTTTAGGATTAATTACACAACCACCGGGGCTGTGGTGAACTATCTCTGAGTGGCGTAGCCCAGAGCCGGCCTCCAGGCCGCAGTTTGGGGCTGACCGTCAGAATCTGTGGCGGCTAGCCGCGTTAGCTCCCACTCTGTAAACAGCTGCCACCAGCCGCACTGCAGTTTAAAGAGGCGACCCGCTGCTTTTACTGTTAGCCAGGTGAGTTTACCTGGAGACCCGTTAACCGGGCGAGAGGTGTGCTTGAACCGTGAGCTGAGGGAAGGATTACACCTGGCGCACACCTGAGAGCTGAGACAGGTGTGCTGCGAGTTCAGCCAACACGAACAGACTCACCTGGAATCTGTAATAAACAGTCAAAAGTTATTACCGTATATGTTCCTACATGCCGGCCGGAAATGAAGACTATAACCAGTAGATTATACTGTTGTAATACATGAACTTTGACCCCCAGTCCCAGGGAAGATGAAAAGAGGAGAAAGTTAAAACCATCTTTAAATCCATCATAACAGCTAACAACTGCTACTGGATCATTATCTGTGAAGATGATATGAGTTACAATATTTAATTTGTCTTTGGGAAAATAAAATATTCATCCTTCCATTTTCTAACCCCCTTGTCCCCGGTGGGGTCAGGAGGTGATGGTGCCTCTCCTGCTAACTTTCTGGGCGAGACTCATACCTGGAGAGAATTTAGAGAGACCAGTTAACCTGACCGTCATGTTTCTGGACTGTGGGAGGAAGCTGGAGAGAACCCACCATGCACAGGGAGAACATGCAGACTGCATGCAGAAAGACCCCGGGTCGGGAATCGAACCCAGGACCGTCTTGCTGCAAGGCAACAGTACTACCAACTGATTCAAAATAAAAAATGAAATATTAAAAGTTTAAGTGGGAACCCCTCCAGCTCTTAAATCATTGTGTTTATCTAGTAATATGATGGTAATTAGATAATAATGCAATAATACATTCACAAAAACCAGTAAACTATCAATTCTGATCAACGTGTAACACTGTAACTTTTAAAATTATCATTTAAAACCAATTATAAAAACTTTGGAAACAAAATTATCCTTAAAAAAAGACTGAAGAGTTTTATCACCCAGACTTTGGTTGAAAGAGAAAATCATGCAACAAGAAACGATTGAACTCATTGTAATTTATTTATGTGATTAATTGATTTATTGCTGATTTACAATTAGTTAAATGTTTAGTCGTCTTATTTCAGGCAGCAACCGGTTGGGCAGGCTGTGTTCCTCTATGGTCAGAGAATTAAAGCATCTTTTTGGAGTGTAAACGATTATAAAAATGTCAAACTTTTAGTTTTCTAGTTGGATGTTTGTGGTGAAACGTGGTGCTGCTAACAGTTAGCGCTGAACGCTCAGAACAAAGTGAGGCTGAGTTCAGGGAGCCGGGTCACAACGAGACTGACGAGTCAGCAGCAGCTCTGATCACCTGACCTCATGGTGTGTGTGTTTCTGATGGTGTGTGTGTGTTTCTGACGGTGTGTGTGTGTGACCAGTGCCAAAGATGACGGCGTGGACATCGACGCTCTGGCTGCAGAGATTGAGGGAGCCGGTGCCTCCAAAGAGCAGAAAGGAAAGAAGAAGAAGAAAGCAGCCAAGAGAGAGGACTTTGAGTAGGCCACCAATCAGCCAGTCTTTCTCTGCCCTCTGCTGCAGCGCTCTGACCCTTCTCTCTCTCCGTAGTGAGGACGACATCCTGAAGGAGTTGGAGGAGCTTTCCCTGGAGGCTCAGGGAGGAAAGGCCAAGGTACACCTGAATGCACCTGAATGCACCTAAACGCACCGTCCACCTCCTCACATTCACTGCCTCTCTTCTGCTGCAGAAAGCAGAAACCACAGAAGAAGTAGACACTCCAGAGCCTCCCAGACCAGAGAAGAAGAAAACCAGGAAGGGGAAGAAAGGTGGAGCCAGTCCTGAGGATGAGGAGGAGGAGGAAGGCCATGTTGATGGAGATAAGAACGGAGAGCAGAAGGAGAAGAACAAGGCGAGGAAAAGTTCTAGTTTTTATCTGATGACATTGGCATCATAATGTCTGAACTTCAACTTTGACCTTTCAGAGATAAAACCTCATTTATTGGTTATTTGTTGTTGTTTCTGCAGGCGCCTCCTGCTGCACCGCCCTCCGACTCCGACGACGACAACAGCTCCTCCCGCTCCCGGCAGAAGGCCAAGGCTGGGAAGAAAGGAGGGAAGAGACAGTCTGCGTCCGACGACGAGGAGCCAAAGGAGGCGGAGCCAAAGAGAGAGGCAGGGAAGGAGGAGGAGTCTGACGAGGAGGATGAGGAGGTGAGCTTCAGGAGAGAGAAGAAGAAGAAGAGCAAAGGGAAGGGGGCGAAGGCGGAGAGCGAGGAGGAGCAGGAGGATGAGGCGGGCGGCTTCAAGATCAAAACGGCGGCGCAAAAGAAGGCAGAGAAGAAGGAGAGGGACAAGAAGAAGAAAGAGGAGGAGAGGATGAAGCAGAAGAAGATGAAGGAGAAGGAGGCCACCGTGGAGGCCAAACCAGAACCAGAGAAGAAGACGGGGGAGGCAGCGGCGCCTCCTGCTGCTGTGGATGAACAGGAGGGGGTGGAGCCAGCAGCAGAAGGTATGATGTCATCAGGTGAGTGTTTATCTGTCTGAAGCAAAGCGATGACTTTGTGTTCTTCTGCAGACGAGAACGAAGGAGACAAGAAGAAGAAGGACAAGAAGAAGAAGAAAGGAGAGAAAGAGGAGAAGAAGAAGGGGCCCAGCAAGGCCACAGTGAAGGCCATGCAGGAGGCGCTGGCCAAGATGAAGGAGGTGGGAGGCTGACTGGGGCATGCTGGGAAACGTAGTCCTGCTGAGGCTGCAGTCTGACTGTGACTGTCTGCAGGAGGAGGAGCGGGCGCGAAGGGAGGAGGAGGAACGGCTGAGGAGGCTGGAGGAGCTGGAGAAGCAGAGGGAGGAGCAGGTAGGCAGCGTCTTCTTCTACTGCTGCAAACAGCGCCGCTCGTTCACCCCAAACTCACCTCAAATTCACCCCAAACTCACCTCAAATTCACCCTGCAGGAGCGGCTGGAGCAGGAGCGCAGGGAGAAGAAGAAGCAGAAGGAGAAGGAGAGGAAGGAGCGTCTGAAGAAGGAGGGCAAGCTGCTGACCAAGGCCCAGAGGGAGGCGCGGGCGCGGGCCGAGGCCACGCTCAAGCTGCTGCAGGCGCAGGGTGAGGGGGCGGGGCCAGAGGGATTCACTGGTCCCCTTTTATCACCTCCTATATCTGAGGTTTAGTGTCGGCCGATTCCAATGCAGAAGAACAACTGAACTCATAGAAGTGCAAAAATATTTTGTTGTTTTCTTCATGGTGAATGTTTAAGTCTGAAGGGGCGTGGTCAGTTTGAGGGGGCGTGGCCTCTCCTCCTCAGTGGTGTCTGATTGGTCTGTTCAGGCGTCGAGGTGCCGTCCAAAGACAGCGTGCCAAAGAAGAAACCAGTTTATGGAGACAAGAGGAAGAAGAAACCCAGCGTCCAATCACCGGAAGGTACTCTTCCTCTTTCTCCTCTTCATCCTCTTCATCCTCATCTTCCTCTAAATCTTGTTTCGTTCTGTCAGAAACATCAGAGGTCACGTCGCCGGTCTCAGAGACCCCGGAGCCCGTTCCCATGGAGACGGAGAGCGAGGCGCCGGCTGCAGAGCCAGGTGGGTGGAGCGGGCGGAGGGCAGCGGGCGGAGGGCAGCGGGCGGAGGGCAGCGG